TATGAAAATTAGCCGGGTATGGTGGTGCATGTCTATAATCCCAGCTAATCTGGAGTCTGAAGCAGGAGAATTGCTTGAACATTGGAGGCAGAGCTTGTAATAAGCAGAGACCGCCCCGCTGCACTCAAGCCTAGGCGAAGAAGTCAGACTCTGTCTCAAAAAAAAAAAAGATTGTTGGATTAAGTCAAGTTCAGATTTCTCAATTTTTAGAGCCATTTGAAAGAATATTTTACATTTGGAAATACTCTAGGCCAAATAAAAAAGCAATCCAAAACAAAACGGTAAAGAAGCGGTTAACCTCTTCTATGGATTTTGTTAAATCTCTGAAGAAAAAATAGAGCTTAAGAAGAACCAGTAACTACTGAAAAAATAGAGAGCCTAGTTCAGAAAACACAAATAATTACATATATGTTTAAAGCAGAAACGTGGTGTGGTGAAAAAAGCACACACAATTATTTTGAATTCCAAATCTGTCACTTAAATAATCTGCCTAATTTTCTGGCACCTAATTTTCCTCATTTTTAACACGATGATAATGGTTATGTATCCTAATTGTTGTGAGGATTAAATAAACCACTATTTGTCAAGTGCCTGGTTTGAATACTGGCTCTGCCACTCACCATGCTCAACAATGGTAGTCAGTATTTTTACTGTAATGTTGATGACATCGTCTGGGGAAAATTGTTTCTTCTGCAGCCTGGCCAAAGCAAGAACTTCTAAATTCTTTAAATTTATCAGCTTATAACCAATTTGCTAACCTATTCCCTATGTCTAAATTCAGTCTAAAATTTAAAACTCTTTTGAATATTTTATAAGGCACTAAAATTACACTTAATATGTTTTTATATTTCCAAACTAAATACTGCTTTCAATGTAGAATTTAAAAATTAAGCAATATGTATATTTTATAGAAATTTTTATCTTTATAGAATCAAATCAGTTGAAACCTGGTGTATCTCTTGCGGGACAAAAGTAGCAGGCAGTTCAGAGGGTTGGTATGCTAAGCTAGAAAAATTCTGGAAGTGAGAGATTCTAAACAGCTAGTGATAACAGCATTGAAATAAGAAATTTAAGTGTCTGAGATATTAATATGAGAAAGAAGGGTCACAATCTAAAAGTTTTAAGATGTAAAAATCTGAAAGAAATCAAATTTGTATTCTTATATTAAGATTTCAGATATAGTAAAAAGAATTGGGAAGGTATTTCAGAGAGATATTAGTCTTTCTGACAATGGTTGGATACTGTGGGTTAGGAAGGGAGGCAGGAAAACATGCCCACAGAGCCAACTGTAAAAAAAAAAAGGATAAACTTTTTGACCCTGAGACTTTAAAGCATACAGATCTAAATTTCCGTTAGACTGGTAAAAGCCTCCTGTGAATTGTTAAAACGACTAGAAAATAAAAGGCTTTTTGACTGTCACTATAGAAAAGATTTTTATTGATGCAGAGGAGCTCTTTAGTTGTCTATTTCAATCTATGTAAATGTTAGTGAATAAAAGGAGATAATTACTTTTTCTTGAGACAGGGTCCTACTTTGTTGCCCAACTTAGAGTGCAATGGCACGATTACGGCTCACTGCAGCTTCTACTCCAGGTTTCAAGCAATCCTCCCACCTCAGCCTTCCGACTTACTGGGACTACAGGCGCACACCACCATGCCCGGCTAATGTGTGTGCTTTTTTCGGTAGAGACAGCGTTATACCATGTTGTCCAAGTTGGTGTTGAATTCCTGGGCTCAAGTGATCTGCCCACCTTGACCTCCCACAGTGCTGGCATTACAGGCATGAGCTACCAAGCACAGCCAAATCACCTTTTTTAGAACATAAGCTTTCATGGGTAACAATTATTTAGTTGTAGCAGTCTAACATCCTATGGATTCTCAATAAAATTTAAACCCCATTTAATAGAAATTTGTGTCACAGTTTGCTTTCCTACCACTTGTATTACTTGTGAGTTACTGTTTGGAGATGCTCTTCAATACCAGTATGGGTTCTTCTCTCTGTTGTGCTGTAGGTTCATTTCTAAAAATTACCTTATTTTAAAGGAGGAAAATCTTCCAAACTGCAATCTGTGTCCAGTGAAGGCAAGTACATCATTTCAAATCTGCCTAAAATATAGGCAGTATAAGGTTTGAGGGGCAGGGGAGAAAATATGGAACAATTATTTCACAAAAATACTAACCATAATGTTTTTTTTTAATCTTTATAAATATATATATATATATTTATTGGCTAGCCAACTGAAGCAGTGGGAATAAATATTTAAATAAGTGAATGAATAGAGAATTCATGCCTGATTAAGTGAAAGCAATAATCCGTAAAACTTTGTTATATTGGTCCTACTTTTTCTCTTTGAGAGGGAGTCTCACTCTGCTGCCCAGGCTGGAGTGCAGCGGTGTGAGCTCCGCTCACTGCAACCTCCGCTTCCCAAGCTCAAGAGGTACTCCTGCCTCAGCCTGTCGAGTAGCTGGGATTACAGGCATGTGTGTATATTGGTCCTATTTTTAAGAATCAGAGTTTTGATAATGCTTACATCAAAATCTGTGGCTGAGACACATTAAGATATAAAGTAACCTTTTCTTATTAGTAGAAAGCAGCCGGGCGCAGTGGCTCAAGCCTATGATCCCAGCACTTTGGGAGGCCAAGGCAGGTGGATCACAAGGTCAAGAGATTGAGACCATCCTGATCAACATGGTAAAACCCCGTCTCTACTAAAAATACAAAAATTAGCTGGGCATGGTGGTGCACCCCTGTAGTCCCAGCTAGTTGGGAGGCTGAGGCAGGAGAATTGCTTGAACCCAGGAGGCAGAGGTTGCAGTGAGCCGAGATCGAGCCATTGCACTCCAACCTGGGTAACAAGAGCAAAACTCTGTCTCAAAAAAAAAAAAAAAGAAAGCTAGGATTTGGTTTAGTGGGGAGCGTAGAGAATTCAGAAGTATGAACACTGGCTCTGCTACTCACCATGTGGCGTGAGGCAAGTCACTTAGTCACGGCTCAGATTACCACTAGAAAGGCAATAACCACCCATTATCCCAGAGTAGGGAAGAGAATGAAATTAACATTTCCATAAATGGTCTCACTCTACCTCTCTCCCTCATCTATTTCTTTACCACATGCCCAATGTGCTAACTGCCCTAAATTTTTATTGCTAAGTGCTATACCCTGCTCTCATTCCTTTGTATTCCTTTTGTTTACCATCGCCTCTAAACCTTCCTACAAGAATTGTGTCCCTTCCATACCTGTCCAGGATCCCCTCCAGGTAATGTTGTTATTCTCTCCATCATCTGTTATCCAAATCTGTTTTTTTCTTATTAAACCACAAAAGGTAGTTCTTAGTTCCGAGTGCTGTCACATATGTATTGTTTTATATATGGTACATAATCCCATGTAATCCTCACAGCCACTCTGTAAAGCAGGTACTGTTATTCTCTGTTTTATCAGTGAAGGAAAGTAGGCCTTGAGAAGTTAAACAGCTTGGCGAAAGTCACTCAAGTATAATTATTACAAATTATCACTACTAATAATTAGTAGGACTAGGATTTAAAGTGAAGTCTGACTCTAAAGCCATTCTTCCTTCCTTCAGTGGGGATCATCCCATATATCTTATACTTCTGTAGCCTTAGGAAAAAAGTACAGCACCTGGCATATTTACAATGAACATATGTTTGGTGAATAAAAAAGGCAGAGAGCATGTCTTATTCACGGAGTTGCTTATTATGTGCCAGACATTTACCTTAGGACCTGAAGATAAAAAATGATCTGACAAGGTCCTCAAGGAGCTTATAATCAGTATACTATGGGAGGGAATCAAGTAAACAGATTATTATAGAGTGTGAGGTTAAGTACTGTTTCTGTGCACAGGCTGCTGAGAAAACAAAAAGGGTAGGAAGAAAACAGTCAAGAAAGAGGTAAGGAAAGTCCCAGTTTCTGCTTTTCCCTTCGAAACCCAAATGAAGCAGGGTTCTAACACACAGGCATACCTTGTTTTATTGTGCTTTGCTTTACGGTGCTTCACAGATACTGTGGGGTTTTTTGTTTGCAAACTGAAAGTTTGTGACAACCCTACGTCAAGCAAGTCTTTTAGTGCCATTTTTCCAAAAGCATGTGCTCACTTCGTGTCTGTCACATTTTGTTAATTCTTGAAGTATTTCTAACTTTTTCATTATTACTATACCTGTTTATGATGATCTGTGCTATTAAAATTGCTGTTACTATTCAAATTGTTTTGGGGTATCATAAACTATGCCACAGAAGACTTAATCCATAAATATTGTGTGTGTTCTGACCACTTCACCAACCGGCTGCTTCCTTGTCTCTCTCCCTCTCCTTGGGGCCTCCCTATTCACTGAGACACAAAAATACTGAAATTAGGCTAGTTAACCCTACAATGGACTCTAAGTTTTCAAGTGAAAAGGTGTTGTACACCTCTCACTTTCAATCAAAAGCTTGAAATGATTAAGCTCACTGAGGAAAGCATGTTAAAAGCCACCAGGCCAAAATCTAGGTCTCTTGTACCAAACAGAAAGTTGTGAATGCAAAGGAAAGGTTCTTGAAGGAAATTAAAAGTGCTATTCCAGTGAACACACAAATGATAAGAAAGCTAAACAACCTTATTGCTGATATGGAGAAGGTTTTAGTGGTTTGGATGGAAGATCAAATTAGCCAAAACATTCCTGTAAGCAAAAACCTAATCTAGAATAAGACCCTAACTCTCAAGGCTGAAAGAGTTGAGGGTGCAAAATAAAAGTTTGAAGCTAACAGAAATTGGTTCATGAGGTTTAAGGAAAGAAGCCATCTCCAAAACATAAAAATGCAAAGTAAAGAAGCAAGTGCTTTTAAAGAAGCTGTAGCAAGTTATCCAGAAGACTGAGCTAAGATCACTGATGAAGGTGGCTTCACTAACAACAAATTTTCAATGTAGAAGAAGCAGTCTTATATTGGAAGAAGATGCCATCTAGGACTTTCCTAGCTAGAAAGGACAAGACAATGCCTCACTTCCAAAGACATGTTGACTCTACTGTTAGGGACTAATGCAGCTGGTAACTTTAAGTTGAAGCCAATGCTCATTTACCGTTCTGAAAATCCTAAGACCCTTAAAAACTATACAACAAGCCAGGTGTAATGGTGCACCTCTACAGTCTATCCTCAGTGGAAAAACAACGCCTGGATAGCAGCTAACCCATTTACAGCATGTTTTACTGAAGAAAAAAAAAAAATTTTTTTTTTTTTTTTTTGAGGAGTCTTGCTCTGTTGCCCAGGCTGGAGTGCAGTGGCACGATCTTGGCTCACCGCAACCTCTGCCTTCTAGGTTCAAGAGATTCTCCTGTCTCAGCCTCCCAAGTAGCTGGGATTACAGGTATGTGCCACCATGCCCAGTTTTGTATTTTCAGTAGAGATGGAGTTTCAACATGTTGGCCAAGCTGGTCTTTAACTCCTGACCTCAGGTGATCCACCTGCCTCAGTCTCCCAAAGTGCTGGGATTACAAGTGTGACCCACCACACCCAGCCGGTTTACTAAGTATTTTAAGTCCAGTGCTAAGACCTACAGCTCAGGAAAAAAAAAAAAAGATTTCTTTCAAAACATTACTACTCATTGACAATGCACTGGTCACTCAAGAGCTCTGATGGAGATAAACAAGATCAATGTTGTGTTCATGCCTGCCAGCATAACACCAACAACAGCATCTTTGGTCCATCTACAGCTTAGGGATCCTTTAGGAATTATTTCAACTTCCAAGACTTATTATTTATGAAATACATTTTATAAAGCTATAGCTGCCATAGATCGTGATTCCTCTGATGGATCTGGGCAAAGTACATTAAAAATGATTCGCCATTCTAGATGGCATTAAGAACGTCTGTGATTCATGGGAAAAAGTAAAAACATCAACATTAGGCTGGTGAGTGAAATGGTCTTCACAACTAACTCATCACAACCAGTTATAGCTTTCTTTGTGCCTTCTCTCACTCCTACTCCTTCACTTGACCAGCCTTAAAAATAAAAAAAAGAAAAGAAAAGAAAGAAAAAGAAATCAACAATAACATTGGGAAGAAGTTGATCCTAGCCCTCATGGATGACTTTCAGGGTTCGAGACTTGAATGGAGAAAATAATGCAGATGTGGTGGAAACAGCAAGAAAACTAGAATTAGAAGTGGAGCCTGAAGATGTGACTGAATTGCTGCAATTTCGTGATAAAACCTGAATGGATAAGGAGTTGCTTCTTATGGTTGAGCAAAGAAAGTAGTTTATTGACATGAAATCAGCTGATGAAGATGCTGTGAACACTGTTGAAATAACAACAAATAATTTTAGAATATTCCATAAACAAAGCAGCAAGGTTTGAGATGACTGACTCTAAATTTGAAAGAAGTTCTGTGGGAAATATGCTATCAAACAGCACTGCATGCTACAGAGAAATCTTACATGAAATGAAGAGTCAATTCATGCAGTAAACTTCACTGTTATTTGGAAAAACTGCCACAGTTACCACAACCTTCAGCAACCCACCTGCCATCAACATTGAGTCAATGCTCTCTACCTCCACCAGCAAAAAGATTATCACTTACTGAAGTCTCAGATGATTATTAGTATTTTTTGGTAATAAAATATTTTTTTTTAGAGCTGGGTATGGTAGTGCATGCCTATAGTCCAACCTACTTAGGAAGCTGAGGCAGGAGGGGAAGAGTGCTTGAGCCCAAAAGTTTGAGTCCAGCCTGAGTAACATGGCAAAACCCATTTTTAAAAAAATAAAAACAAAAATAATTTTTAAATTAAGCTATGTACATGTTTTTTAAAGACATAGTGCTATTGCACAATTAACAGACTACAGTACAGTATAAATATCATTTTTATATGCAGTGGGAAGTAAAAAATTCATGTGACGGCTGGACACGGTGGCTTACGCCTATAATCCTAGCACTTTGGGAGGCCAAGGTGGGTGGATCACAAGGTCAGGAGACTGAGACCATCTTGGCTAACAAGGCAAAACCCCACCTCTACCAAAAATACAAAAAATTAGCCAGGCATGGTGGCATTTGTCTGTAGTACCAGCTACTTGGGAGGCTGAGGCAGGAGAATCACGTGAACCCGGGAGGTGGAGGTTGCAGTAAGCTGAGATCACGCCACTGCACCCCAGCCCAGCGATAGAGCAAGACTCCATCTAAACAAACAAACAAAAAATTAATGTGGCTCATTTTATTGCAGTGGTCTGAACTAAGCTCACAATATTTCCAAAGTATACCTGTACTTTTTCAAAAAATTAGATTATATATATTCACACTTCTATTTTATCTCAAATTCCTCACCTGTCCAGCTCAAATAAATCTTATCTTTTAAAAACACATTTTAAAGGATAATTTACTTTCCAAATATGTTCAATTTACATGATGATACATATTTTTCTCTCCATACAAATCTAGAAGAAAATGAAAAAGGCTACTGGTTACATAACTGGCCAGTGTTGGAAGTGCTTGTGAAAAAAACCATTATCGATTCAAGTTTTTTTTTTTTTTTTTTTTTTACTTAGGAGAACAAGGGGATAAAACTCACTGCATTTCAAGCAACTGCTCCAAAAAATCATGTATCTTCAAAACCATTTTACTCCTAGGTTTTAAAAAAACAAACAACTTTTACATTGTTTTCATATACATTTCTCTCTTTCCTACCCTTGAATTTAACCCTACAGAAAAGGCAAGTGCAATTTAGATAATATATTACCAGCAGTTATTCACTTGCTAAGCAACAGTTTATTCAAGTAAGTATTTTCTGGGCTGTTATGGAAAATGGCAAAATAAAAAGGCTTATTAAATTTACTTTAGATTATATCTGTCACTTCTTCCTTGTTAAAGGCAATTACTACCGAAGAAAATAAATTAAGCCTAATAATGTCACTCATTACAAAATTGGGTACTATCAAATTTTTATGGCTTTACAGGTAGTTGCTAATAGATTAAATGATGTTAACACTCTCTTATAATCTGAAGAAAGCAAATTTCTGCAAACATAATGGGACTAGTAAAGATGAAATAATAAAAGATAGTAGTGGTGGTGGAGAAAAGAAATTTAAAAAACAATAAATGAAATGAGGTACAGATGGACTTCATTTTTTTGCAGCTTATGAAATTAATGAAGACAAACAGCAAAAACAAAAGCCTAAAGGGATTAAAATCTAAGGGCGGCAAACATAAGCAACAAAGAAAGTGCAGATTCAAATACACATAAGCCTTACTATCATATTTGGAACTAAAAAATAAGTAAATAAACAAATACGCACAGGCCTGAGAAAGAACATAATTCCTTTGAGCTGGAGTTGTGAGAATAACATTCAAGTTCAAAGTAAGTTCAACTTGTTTTCCACTTTTCACTACCCTATTCAGCAAAGTGAAAATAACCTTGGGGACAGAGTTTAAATAAAACCCTTTTTCTGATATTCCCCTAAAAAATTCTCTCACTAGAAGGAAAATAATGAAAGGAACATTTTTCTCAATAGTTTCTATCTTCAAACAAGATTCGTAAAAATTCTCGAATGGTTTTAAGAAAAAGAAAACCAGACCAGCCTGGCCAACATGGAGAAACCCCATCTCTACAAAAAATACAAAATTAGCCAGGTGTGGTGGCGCATGCTTGTAATCCCAGCTACTTGGGAGGGTGAGGCAGGAGGATCACTTGAACCTGGGAGGCAGAGGTTGCGGTGAGTTGAGATCATGCCATTGCACTTCAGCCTAGGCAAAAAGAGTGAAACTCCCTCTCACATAAAAATTTAAAAAATAAAAAAGAAAAAAGAAAAAAAAGAAAAAAAACAACCACTGTTTACATCAAGGAGTCGTAATGTGTTATATGCTAAAAAGGAAGTGAGAATCATGGAATCACGGGATTAAAAGTAATTTTGAGGCCAGGTGAAGCGGCTCACACCTGTAATCTAAGCACTCTGGGAGGCAGAAGCAGGCGGATCACTTGAGGTCAGGAGTTTGAGACCAGCCTGGTAAAAATGGAACCTTGTCTCTACTAAAAATACAAAATTTAGCCGGTATGGTGGTGGGTACCTGCAATCCCACCTACTTGGGAGGCTGAGGCAGAAGAATTGCTCGAACCTGGGAGGCATAGTTTGTAGTGAGCGGAGATCACACCACTGGACTCCAGCCTGGGTGACAGAGCAAGACTTCATCTCAAAAAACATAAATAAAATAAAAGTAATTTTGACAGCTTATTCCCTTATCCTAAATTCATATAACCAAAGAAGCTGCTCACAATTTACAGACTTGAAAAATAAGAGGCTTCAAATTACAAATATATTTAATACTGTAATATTAACAAAGATTTAATTGCTTGTTTAAAAATTCAAAACAATTCCCGTAGCAAGTGTGTACTGTTACCACTTAAAGAAAATAACAGGGATAATCACATTCATCAAATACTTTTTTAAGCTGATGCTATGCTAGTCACCATAATGACTATATTCTACAGACTTGCGTTCTGCCATTAAAAAATTCTTAGACCATTCACTACTGAATTACTGTTTAGCTGGTAAACTGAGGCAAAATACTGAATAACCTGAGAAGTCACAAGTACAGTCAAAGTCCACGGTACAAAACTACTGAACCATGCTCCCTCTTTATATAATATTACATAGACTGCTGAGTTTAAATGTTATCCACTTAGTTGGGTTTAAAGTCTTTTCCAGATACAATCTAAACTGTGAGGAAAAAGTGAATTCTAAATTCCACATAAACTGACTTCTGCTGTGTCATTCTTTTTGCTTGAAAACTCATTGCCACTGATTCAGTTTCACCTGTTGGTAATGAACACAGAACTCATTGTGGGGAACAACAAACCAGTGTGTGAGAAAAGTAAGAGAAGTTATCAGATACACAGGGGAGTAAAACAAGTAACTGAAAAACACTTCAACCACAACAGTATTTTCTGTCCTAAAGAAGGCATTTTGAATCCTGATATTCTAGTTACCTCTTCCTTCATGAAAAATTCTATAGGTTCCAAAAGCACCCACGTTGCTTACTCACCTGGTTCATCTGAATCCTGAATCCGGGTTTTTATATCTGCTAAACTAAGCTCTTGAGAGATCGAAGCTGCTGCCCCCTCCTCTGGGTCCTCCACCTTAGTCACAGTGAAGTGAGGCATTGTTATAGTTAGATAGAAATACCTTACTCTTTCTATATTTAAACTTCCTTCCAATTAGTTTTCCCTTCCTACCTCTTCCTTGCTGTCCTTTCAGACTGTGATCCCCGCCTACAGGAGACAGTGGCTGGGATTCGGGAAGTACT